TGATCGTTAGATGTAAGGTTTGAAATTACATAATGACATCTCCAAATGCCATAAAGCAATGCTGAAATTACATAATGACATCTCCAAATGCCATAAAGCAATGCTGAAATTACATAATGACATCTCCAAATGCCATAAAGTAATCTGCACACACAATGTTATTTTTGACATGGAAAATGCGCCATATGTTTTTAAACCAAATGCATCATCACCAATAAACACGTATGGCAGGACTTTCTCTGAATTAGTTAGCTTGCTCTCACTTGAAATGTTCAGTAGATTATTCTCAATGGCATAACCTAAATGACTGCAACCATAGACACTACTATCGCTTTGTCGTCCAATGTCTCCAATATCGACTAAAGTAAACTGATACTTGGCATTACACACAGCCATAAGAACAATACTAAACGTTTTCTTGTACTTGAAGTAAGCAGATCCTGAATTACCCGGAGCCTGCATTAAAACATGTTTACTGTCTATGGCACGTACACAGTGAGGAAAGTTCCAACAAGTCTCAAACTCTTCGGCAATTACTTTCCATTCATTCTCTGTTGACGGGTGCTTAACATAACCTTTTTCAATCAGAGTGTTCCACAACAGTTCACAAGTTTCATTGATAATCCTTCCCACAACTGCAGCACTTATCCTGTAACTTGCAGCAATTGTAACCTGGGCATCACCAGTAACCAAGTACCTTAAGCAAACACACAATCTCTCGCTAGGGCCAATTGGCTCACGCATTTTAGTGGTAGCTCTTTGGAGAAGTGGTCCTATCCAAGACAGTAATTGTTCAAACGTAGTTGGCGACATCCGAAAACAGTTAAAAAAATATTCTTGATCATGAAGCATAAGTTCTTTGACAAGAAGATGATATTCGCCTTTCTATTTTCGTTCTGCATAAATCTGTCTAACTGAGAACCGTTTTTTGTACCTATTTAAGCGCTTTTGACGTCTTTTCAGCAACAGCAAACGAATTATACTGTTCTTTACAGCCAGAAGACGTCTTAAGTTGATTGCCGCCATCTTTGTTATGTAATTCGCGGGAATTTTCAGAACTTGCGAAAAAAGCACTGAGCTATAATATATCTGGAGGAAGTGCTCGGCATCAAAGAGTGTCGCCAAAA